ATATATTTTAATTGTAAATATTATTTATTTTAGCCAGATATTATTTTTACTAACATACTGTAATCACTTTTCAATTTCAGTTCAACTGAGTGAACTCTTCCTTTCTTCACTCACTCATGCTTATTTCTTCTCATCTTTTTCTTTCTCTCCACTGGTCTGTCCTTAGTTTCACCTTTCTGTAAATTGGTTACCCCTGGATTGTGACTATTTCCTATAGTTTTGTTTTCATTAATTTTATATATTTCAAAGTGGAAGGTGTTTCAACTCCCTTATTGAAATATAGAAAGATCCTTCAATGATTTAAATTTGTATTTTTCATTTCAATTTGGATATCATTGTGTCTAAGGATTTATTAGTATATTTGGTAAGTTAATCTTATTTGGTATTTCTCTTTTTGTTGTTTATTTTGGTAATAGGTTATATTGGCCAATTTCATTGTCAAGTGGTAGCCATTTTGGATCTATATACATATGGGTTTCTGTTTTTGCATTAGGTACATTTTATATAGCATTACGTTCATCACAGTAATTTCCTTAAACTTACATTATCACATTTTATTCCTTTGTAGACTAGACCTCAATTGTTGAATTCAAGCCTTTAGCTTGATTGACTCCTTAAACCCCTTTTTGCTTAGGGTAAGTCTTTTTGCATTTTTGTATATAATTGTATTATATTTTGTTTTAAGACTGTTTGTATAGTTAGTATTTCTAGTTATTACTTTAATAACAAGATCAAGGAAAATAGTTGTATTATAGGGTTTATATTCAGGTATTATTGTAGTAATTAATATTCTTCTTTTGAATATTTCAGGGTTTTTGTTAAGTAATAAAGTTTTATCAACCCATTTGGATGTGTGGTTAATTAGCCTACCCTAATTCCTGACCACCCATTTCATTGGCGCCCAACGTGATTGTACCTACAGTTCCTGTTTCCTGAAAAAACCCGTGAGTGAATATAATAGTGCACTAACATTTGCGATGTTGCTGCAGCAATAAGTGATATTTGGATTCGTTCATGCATTTTTTGTAAACTGTGAGTAACTTTCTATTTACCGTGGCCCATTGGGGACATTTGCAATTTTTTTATTTTTCGACGTTTCTCGGTGGTTTGAGAGCAGAAGAACTGCAGAAAACAGGAATTGAAATTGTGAAAATTCGAGAAACCGACAAAAAATAGAAGGAATGGAGGGAAATAGAGAAACTTTAATTAGAAAGGTGACACAAAATACATAAAAATCACAAAAATTCATAAAAACAATAATTAATCGAAATCGTAAAAATAGTGGTGGTAATTAATTTCAACCGTGGTGGTAATACATTTCAACCGCGGTTGAAATTAATTTTTGCGATTTCACTTTGAATTTTTTGTGTTTTTCATAATATTTTGGAAAAAATTAATTTTTCATGTTTTCACTATTTTTACGATTTTGTGTACTCATTCTGTGCCCTATTATTCTCAATGGATCTTTTTATACGCCCACACATTAATGTGGGGCGTATATAGTCGTCGCCCCTGTCTGTCTGTCTGTCTGTCTGTCTGTCTGTCTGTCTGTCTGTCTGTCTGTCTGTCTGTCTGTCTGTCTGTCTGTCTGTCTGTCTGTCTGTCTGTCTGTCTGTCTGTCCACAATTGTTTGTTGACACGATAGAG